AGGCCATATTGGGTGTTATCAATAAACCACCAGTCAGCCAGTACAGAGGCCATATTGGGTGTTATAAACAAGTCACCAGTCAGCCAGTACAGAGGCCGTATTGGGGGTTATCAACAAGCCACCAGTCAGCCATTACAGAGGCCATATTTGGTGTTATCAACAAGCCGCCAGTCAGCCAGTACAGAGGCCGTAATGGGTGTTATCAACAAGCCACCAGTCAGCCAGTACACATGCCGTATTGGGTGTTATCAACAAGCCACCAGCCAGCCAGTACAGAGGTCATATTGGGTGTTATAAACAAGCCACCAATCGGCCAGTACAAAGGCCATATTTGGTGTTATCAACAAGCCACCTATCAGCCAGTACAGAGGCCATATTGGGTGTTATAAACAAGCCACGAGTCAGCCAGTACAGAGACGGTATTGGGTGTTATCAATAAGTCACCAGTGAGCCAGTAAAGAGGCCATATTGGGTGTTATCAACAAGCCACCAGTAAGCCAGTACAGATGCCATATTCGATGTTATCAACAAGCCACCAGTCAGCCAGTACAGCCAGTACAGAGGCCATATTTGGTGTTATCAACAAGCCACAAGTCAGCCAGTACAGAGGCCGTATTGTGTGTTATCAACAAGCCACCAGTCAGCCAGTACACATGCCGTATTGGGTGTTATCAACAAGCCACCAGCCAGCCAGTACAGATGCCATATTCGATGTTATCAACAAGCCACCAGTCAGCCAGTACCTAGGCCGTATTGGGTGTTATCAACAAGCCACCAATCAGCCAGTACAGAGGCCATATTTGGTGTTATAAACAAGCCACCAGTCAGCCAGTACCTAGGCCGTATTGGGTGTTATCAACAAGCCACCAATCAGCAAGTACAGAGGCCATATTGGGTGTTATCAATAAACCACCAGCAGCCAGTACAGAGGCCATATTGGGTGTTATAAACAAGTCACCAGTCAGCCAGTACAGAGGCCGTATTGGGTTTTATCAACAAGCCACCAGTCAGCCAGTACAGCCAGTACAGAGGCCATATTTGGTGTTATCAACAAGCCTTCTATCAGCCAGTACAGAGGCCATATTGGGTGTTATAAACAAGCCACCAGTCAGCCAGTACACATGCCGTATTGGGTGTTATCAACAAGCCACCAGTCAGCCAGTACAGATGCCATATTCGATGTTATCAATAAGCCACCAGTCAGCCAGTACAGAGGTCATATTGGGTGTTATCAACAAGCCACCAATCGGCCAGTACAAAGGCCATATTTGATGTTATCAACAAGCCTTCAATCAGCCAGTACAGAGGCCGTATTGGTTGTTATCAACAAGCCACCAATCAGCAAGTACAGAGGCCATATTGGGTGTTATCAATAAGCCTCCAGTCAGCCAGTACAGAGGCCGTATTTGGTGTTATCAACAAGCCCCCAGTCAGCCAGTACAGAGGCCATATTGGGTGTTATCAACAGGCCTCCAATCAGCAAGTACAGAGGCCATATTAGGTCTTATCAATAAGCCACCAGTCAGCCAGTACAGAGGTCATATTGGGTGTTATAAACAAGCCACCAATCGGCCAGTACAAAGGCCATATTTGATGTTATCAACAAGCCTTCAATCAGCCAGTACAGAGGCCATATTGGGTGTTATCAATAAGCCACCAGTCAGCCAGTACAGTGGTCGTATTGGGTTTTATCAATAAGCCACCAGTCAGCCAGTACAGAGGTCATATTGGTCAGCCAGTACAGAGGCCGTAATGGGTGTTATCAACAAGCCACCAGTCAGCCAGTACAAAGGCCATATTTGGTGTTATCAACAAGCCTTCTATCAGCCAGTACAGAGGACATATTGGGTGTTATCAACAGGCCTCCAATCAGCCAGTACAGAGGCCATATTGGGTCTTATCAATAAGCCACCAGTCAGCCAGTACAGAGGCCGTATTGGGTGTTTTCAATAAGCCACCAGTCAGCCAGTACAGAGGCCGTATTTGGTGTTATCAACAAGCCACCAGTCAGCCAGTACGGATGCCATATTGGATGTTATCAATAAGCCACCAGTCAGCCAGTACAGAGGCCGTATTTGGTGTTATCAACAAGCCCCCAGTCAGCTAGTACAGAGGCCATATTGGGTGTTATAAACAAGTCACCAGTCAGCCAGTACAGAGGCCGTATTGGGTGTTATCAATAAGTCACCAGTCAGCCAGTAAAGAGGCCATATTTGGTGTTATCAACAAGCCACCAGTCAGCCAGTACAGAGTGTTATCAACAAGCCACCAGTCAGCCAGTACAAAGGCCATATTTGGTGTTATCAACAAGCCTTCTATCAGCCAGTACAGAGGCCATATTGGGTGTTATCAACAGGCCTCCAATCAGCAAGTACAGAGGCCATATTGGGTCTTATCAATAAGCCACCAGTCAGCCAGTACAGAGGCCGTATTTGGTGTTATCAACAACCCACCAGTCAGCCAGTACAGAGGTCGTATTGGGTTTTATCTTGGATCTTCTCCTTTTCCCCTGACGTACCTGATCAGCTATAGTATACATAATACTAGCATGAGAGGCCATATTTGGTGTTATCAACAAGCCTTCTATCATCCAGTACAGAGGCCATATTGGGTTTTATCAACAGGCCTCCAATCAGCCAGTACAGAGGCCATATTCGGTGTTCTCAATAAGCCACCACTCAGCCAGTACAGATGCCATATTCGATGTTATCAATAAGCCACCAGTTAGCCGCTGACCGTGGCGGTGGTCGGGGGTACAATGACGAAGTATCTAGCCAGTACAGAGGCCATATTGTATGTTATCAATAAGCCACCAGTCAGCCAGTACAGAGGTCGTATTGGGTTTTATCTTGGATCTTCTCCTTTTCCCCTGACGTACCTGATCAGCTATAGTATACATAATACTAGCATGCTATGTCATATCAAACACATGGCTAACATGTTATGTCATGTCAAACACTTGGCTAACATGTTATGTTATATTGAACACAAGACTAAAGTGTTATATTATATTTAACACAAGACTATCCATGCTATGTTATATTTAACATATGATGATCATGTTATATACACTCATGGCTTATGTGTTATATTATATCAAACTCATGGCTAACATGTTATGTTATATTGAACACATGTCTAACGTGTTATGTTATATTGAACACATGGCTAACGTGTTATGTTATATCAAACACAAGACTAAAGTGTTACGTTATAGTTAACACAAGACTTTCCATGCTATGTTATATTTAACATATGATTATCATGTTATATCAACTCATGGCTAACGTGTTATGTTATATTGAACACAAGACTAAAGTGTTATATTATATTGAACACATAACGTGTTATGTTATATCAAACACAAGACTACCGTGTTACATTGTATGTTATATTTAACACAAGTATATCCATGCTATGTTATATCTAACATATGACTATCATGTTATATTGAACATACAGTTAACGTGTTATATTATATCAAACTCATGGCTAACGTGTTATGTTATATTTAACTCATGGCTAGCGTGTTATATTATATTGAACACATGGCTAACGTTTTATTTTATATTTAACTCATGGCTAGTGTGTTATGTTATATTGAACACATGGCTAACGTGTTATGGCATATTTAACACAAGACTATCCATGCTATGTTATATTTAACATATGATTATCATGTGATATAAACTCATGGCTTATGTGTTATATTGTATCAAACTCATGGCTAACGTGTTATGTTATATTGAACACATGGCTAACGTGTTATATTATATTGAACACATGGCTAACGTGTTATATTATATCAAACTCATGGCTAACGTGTTATGTTATATTGAACACATGGCTAACGTGTTATGTTATAGTAATCACATGACTTACGTGCTTTGTTATGTTTTAAGTATGAGAGTTCTCCAATTGGTCCGTAGGATTAGCTATCTGGAGACTCTCCTGTGACTGTGACGTACCTTTACGTGATATATCTTGTTAACGTCCCTATGAAGATTTATACGTCAACTAAAAGATTAAAATTAATCTCTGCCTACCCGGATGTTAGTGTGTAATGGGAGTGACAATGTCAAGACTTTTTATTCCCTTGTATGTAGCGTTTGGTTCGTGCGTACGTGCGTTTGTTTATAATTTGCAATCACCTTAGCGACTTCATTTTTAGAAAGATTTTGATCAAATCTCTTCTATTGGACGAGTTTGAGATACCTCCAACGGATTCATGTTTCAGAGTGTCAAGCTCAAGGTCATCCGTTCTGTTTACAGAAAATATTTGTCATTGCTCTAGTGATTCTATTTATGAAGATTTGAAAAAAACAAAAAATTCAAATATTGGTTAAGCATAAAAAATGAATCGAAGATTTTGTGTTCCAGAGAGCCAGGTTCAAGGTCACCATTATTACTATATTTGTTTGTCATTACTCTTCTACAGGCAACAGCTATGAGAACATCTATACATTTAACACATCCAACTCAATCTCGACATTGAATTACACTAACGCTATCTAAAAATCTATTAATTTTTCAAAATTTTAAATTCAATATAACAGATGTGACCCATTAAATATTTGTGTGACTATATATGTCTGTTTGGTATTTTAATGGAAATAATATACAGACCAAATGGTGTCAATTATCAGAGGATTGTGTGAGTTTAGTGATACTGTTACGTTTATAACTACACGCTAGTGGATTTGTATCGCTTGTGACGCATTGTTTATATTCGTATCACGGATCGGTTTATCTAGATATATGTCAGTCGGTTGGATGTTTTATAAACTTAAATAATTAATTTATGATCAACAATGGCACAAGAGGTCTGCTTTATGGCATCACAGACCGATAAATGTAAAACGAAATAAAAACATCTGTCAAAGAACAGCCATTGTCTATCCGTCTATCCGTGTGTTCATATTTAATAAGAATTGTTATGCAAATCAGCATCTGCAGAGCGAATTTAAAATGGGGTAGGAGGAGAAACCACTTACTGGCTGTTATGTTAGTTGGTTGTTGGTGGTTGTCGTGATCGTTGCGGTGTTCGGGGATACAATGACTAAGTATCTGTTGGTGGTTGTTGTGGTGGCGCTGACCGTGGCGGTGGTCGGGGGTACAATGACGAAGTATCTGTTGGTGGTTGTGGTGGTGGCGGTGACCGTGGCGGGGGTCTGGGATACACTGACTATGTATCTGTCGGTGGTTGTGGAGGTGGCGGTGACCGTGGCGGTGGTCGGGGGGACAATGACTAAGTATCTGTTGGTGGTTGTTGTGGTGGCGGGGACCGTGGCGGTGGTCGGGGGTACAATGACTAAGTATCTGTTGGTGGTTGTGGTGGTGGCGGTGACCATTGCGGGGGTCGGGGATACACTGACTATGTATCTGTTGGTGGTTGTGGTGGTGGCGGTGACCATTGCGGGGGTCGGGGATACACTGACTATGTATCTGTTGGTGGTTGTTGTGGTGGCGGTGACCGTGGCGGGGGTCGGGGATACACTGACTAAGTATCTGTTGGTGGTTGTTGTGGTGGCGGGGACCGTGGCGGTGGTCGGGGGTACAATGACTAAGTATCTGTTGGTGGTTGTGGTGGGGGCGGTGACCATTGCGGGGGTCGGGGATACAATGACTATGTATCTGTCGGTGGTTGTGGTGGTGGCGGGGACCGTGGCGGTGGTCGGGGGTACAATGACTAAGTATCTGTTGGTGGTTGTGGTGGTGGCGGTGACCATTGCGGGGGTCGGGGATACACTGACTATGTATCTGTTGGTGGTTGTGGTGGTGGCGGTGACCATTGCGGGGGTCGGGGATACACTGACTATGTATCTGTTGGTGGTTGTGGTGGTGGCGGTGACCATTGCGGGGGTCGGGGATACACTGACTATGTATCTGTTGGTGGTTGTGGTGGTGGCGGTGACCATTGCGGTGGTCTGGGATACACTGACTATGTATCTGTCGGTGGTTGTGGAGGTGGCGGTGACCGTGGCGGTGGTCGGGGGGACAATGACTAAGTATCTGTTGGTGGTTGTGGTGGTGGCGGTGACCATTGCGGGGGTCGGGGATACACTGACTATGTATCTGTTGGTGGTTGTGGTGGTGGCGGTGACCGTGGCTGTGGTCTGGGATACACTGACTATGTATCTGTCGGTGGTTGTGGAGGTGGCGGTGACCGTGGCGGTGGTCGGGGGGACAATGACTAAGTATCTGTTGGTGGTTGTGGTGGTGGCGGTGACCGTGGCGGTGGTCTGGGATACACTGACTATGTATCTGTCGGTGGTTGTGGTGGTGGCGGTGACCGTGAATTTGCGGTGGTCTGGGATACACTGACTAAGTACCTGTTGGTGGTTGTGGTGGTGGCGGTGACCGTTGCGGTGGTCGGGAATACAATGACTAAGTATCTGTTGGGGGTTGTGGTGGTTGCGCTGACCATTGCGGTGGTTTGGGATACGCTGACTAAGTATCTGTTGGTGGTTGTTGTGGTGGCGGTGACCGTGGCGGTGGTCGGGGATTAACTGACTATGTATCTGTCGGTGGTTGTGGTGGTGGCGGTGACCGTGACTTTGCGGTGGTCTGGGATACACTGACTAAGTATCTGTTGGTGGTTGTGGTGGTGGCGCTGACCGTGGCGGTGGTCGGGAATACAATGACTAAGTATCTGTTGGTGGTTGTGGTGGTTGCGCTGACCATTGCGGTGGTTTGGGATACACTGACTAAGTATCTGTTGGTGGTTGTTGTGGTGGCGATGACCGTGGCGGTGGTCGGGGGTACAATGACTAAGTATCTGTTGGTGGTTGGGGTGGTGGCGGTGACCGTGGCGGTGGTCGGGGGTACATTGACGAAGTTTCTGTTGGTGGTTGTGGTGGTGGCGGTGACCGTGGCGGTGGTCGGGGGTTCATTGACGAAGTTTCTGTTGGTGGTTGTGGTGGTGGCGGTGCCCGTGGCGGTGATCGGGGGTACACTGACTAAGTATCTGTTGGTGGTTGTGGTGGTGGCGGTGACCGTGGCGGTGGTCGGGGGTACAATAGCTGTTGCTATTGTTGCTACTTGGTGGAATTGGAGAGTTCACACACTTAATATCTGTTGGTGGTGGTGATGGGGAACAAATGGGTGCGTTGGTGTTTTCAACCAACGACGTACAGTGCCAGTTGGTTTGTGTTGGTGCGGTGTTGTTGACAATTTGGTACTGTGTGCCTGTTGGTGGTGGTGCGGTGTTGTTTACAACTATGTTCAGTGCCTGTTGGTGTTGGTGCGGAGTTGTTGACCACGAGGTACAGTGCTTGTTGGTGTTGATACGGTGTTGATGATAACGTGGTGCAGTGCCTTTTGGTGTTGGTGCGGTGTTGTTGACAATGAGGTACAGTGCCTGTTCGTGTTGGTACGGTGTTGTTGACAATGAGGTACAGTGCCTTTTTTTTTGTTGGTACGGTGTTGTTGACAACGACGTATAGTGCCTGTTGTTTTGTTGGTGCGGTGTTGTTGACAACGACGTACAGTGTGTGTTGTTTTGTTGGTGCGGTGTTGTTGACAATGCGGTACAGTGCCTTTTGGTGTTGGTGCGGTGTTCTTGACAATGAGGTATAGTGCCTTTTGGTGTTGGGAGGGGGTTGTTGATAATGAGGTACAGTGCCTGTTGGGGTTGGTGCGGTGTTGTTGACAACGACGTACAATGCCTGTTGGTGTTGGTGCGGAGTTGTTGACAACGAGGTACAGTGCTTGTTGGTGTTGGTACGGTGTTGTTGATAACGTTGTACAGTGCCTGTTGGTGTTGGTGCGGTGTTGTTGACCACAAGGTACAGTGCCTGTTGGTGTTGGTACGGGGTTGTTGACAACGTTGTAAGTGCCCGTTGGTGTTGGTGCGGGGTTGTTGACAATGAGGTACAGTGCCTGTTTGTGTTGGTGCGGTGTTGCTGACGATAAGTTACAGTGCCTGTTGGTGTTGGTACGGTGTTGTTTACAACGAGGTACAGTGCCTGTTGGTGTTGGTGCGGTGTTGTTGACGATAAGTTACGGTGCCTGTTGGTGTTGGTACGGTGTTGTTTACAACGAGGTACAGTGCCTGTTGGTGTTGGTGCGGTGTTGTTGACAATGAGGTACGGTGCCTGTTGGTGTTGGTACGGTGTTGTTGACAATGAGGTACAGTGCCTGTTGTTTTGTTGGTACGGTGTTGTTGACAACGACGTACAGTGCCTGTTGTTTTGTTGGTGCGGTGTTGTTGACAATGAGGTACAGTGCCTTTTGGTGTTGGTGCGGTGTTGTTGACAATGAGGTATAGTGCCTTTTGGTGTTGGTAGGGTGTTGTTGATAATGAGGTACAGTGCCTGTTGGTGTTGGTACGGTGTTGTTGACAACGACGTACAGTGCCTGTTGGTGTTGGTACGGAGTTGTTGACCACGAGGTACAGTGCCTGTTGGGGTTGGTGCGGTGTTGTGGTATAGTGCCTGTTGGTGTTGGTACGGTGTTGTTGACAATGAGGTACAGTGCCTGTTGGTGTTGGCACGGTATTGTTGACAACGTGGTATAGTGCCTGTTGGTGTTGGTACGGTGTTGTTGACAATGAGGTACAGTGCATGTTTGTGTTGGTACGGTGTTGTTGACAATGTTGTACAGTGCTTGTTTGTGTTGGTGCGGTATTGTTGACAACGACGTACAGTGCCTGTTGGTGTTGGGGGGGAGTTGTTGACCACAAGGTACAGTGCTTGTTTATGTTGGTGTGGTATTGTTGACAACGAGGTACAGTGCCCGGTGCCTGTTGTTTTGTTGGTGCGGTGTTGTTGACAATGAGGTACAGTGCTTGTTTTTGTTGGTGCGGTATTGTTGACAATGAAGTACAGTGCTTGTTTGTGTTGGTGTGGTGTTGTTGACAATGAGGTACAGTGCTTGTTTTTGTTGGTGCGGTATTGTTGACAACGACGTACAGTGCCTGTTGGTGTTGGGGGGGAGTTGTTGACCACAAGGTACAGTGCTTGTTTGTGTTGGTGCGGAGTTGTTGACCAAGAGATACCGTGCCCGTTGGTATTGGTGCGGTATTGTTGACAACGACGTACAGTGCCTGTTGTTTTGTTGGTGCGGTGTTGTTGACAATGAGGTACAGTGCATGTTGGTGTTGGTACGGTGTTGTTGACAACGACATACAGTTCCTGTTGGTGTTGGTGCGGGGTTGTTGACCAAGAGGTACAGTGCCTGTTGGTGTTGATGCGGAGTTGTTGACCAAGAGGTACAGTGCCTGTTGGGGTTGGTGCGGAGTTGTTGACAACGACGTACAATGCCTGTTGGTGTTGGTGCGGAGTTGTTGGCCACGAGGTACAGTGCCTGTTGGGGTTGGTGCGGTGTTGTTGACAACGACGTACAGTGGCTGTTGGTGTTGGTGCGGAGTTGTTGACCCAGAGTTATATTGCCTGTTGGTGTTGGTGCGGGGTTGTTGACCACGAGGTACAGTGCCTGTTGGGGTTGGTGCGGTGTTGTGGTATAGTGCCTGTTGGTGTTGGTACGGTGGTGTTGACAATGAGGTACAGTGCATGTTTGTGTTGGGACGGTGTTGTTGACAATGTTGTACAGTGCTTGTTTGTGTTTGTGCGGAGTTGTTGACCAAGAGATACCGTGCCCGTTGGTGTTGGTGTGGTATTGTTTACAACGACGTACAGTGCCTGTTGGTGTTGGTGTAGTATTGTTGACAACGACGTACAGTGCTTGTTTGTGTTGGTGCGGAGTTGTTGACCACGAGGTCCAGTGCTCGTTTGTGTTGGTGCAGTATTGTTGACAACGAGGTACAGTGCCTGTTGGTGTTGGTGCGGAGTTGTTGACCACGAGGTACAGTGCCTGTTGGTGTTGGTGCGAAGTTGTTGACCAAGAGGTACAGTGGCAGTTGGTGTTGGTGCGGAGTTGTTGACCACGAGGTACAGTGCCTGTTGGTGTTGGTGCGGAGTTGTTGACAAAGAGCTACAGTGCCTGTTGGTGTTGGTGCGGAGTTGTTGACAAAGAGCTACAGTGCCTGTTGGTGTTGGTGCGGAGTTGTTGACCAAGAGGTACAGTGCCTGTTGGTGTTGATGCGGAGTTGTTGACCAAGAGCTACAGTGCCTGTTGGTGTTGGTGCGGAGTTGTTGACCAAGAGATACAGTGCCTGTTGGTGTTGGTACGGTGTTGTTGACAACGTTGTACAGTGCCTGTTTGTGTTGGTGCGGTATTGTTGACAATGAAGTTCAGTGCTTGTTTTTGTTGGTGCGGTATTGTTGACAATGAAGTACAGTGCTTGTTTTTGTTGGTGCGGTATTGTTGACAATGAAGTACAGTGCTTGTTTGTGTTGGTGCGGTGTTGTTGACAATGAGGTACAGTTCTTGTTTGTGTTGGTGCGGTATTGTTGACAATGAAGTACAGTGCTTGTTTTTGTTGGTGCGGTATTGTTGACAATGAAGTACAGTGCTTGTTTGTGTTGGTGCGGTATTGTTTACAATGAAGTACAGTGCTTGTTTTTGTTGGTGCGGTATTGTTGACAATGAAGTACAGTGCTTGTTTTTGTTGGTGCGGTATTGTTGACAATGAAGTACAGTGCTTGTTTTTGTTGGTGCGGTATTGTTGACAACGACGTAGAGTGCCCGTTGGTGTTGGTTCGTAGTTGTTGAACACGAGGTACAGTGCTTGTTTGTGTTGGTGCGGTGTTGTTGACAATGAGGTACAGTGCCTGTTGGTGTTGGGACGGTGTTGTTGACAATGAGGTACAGTGCCTGTTTGTGTTGGTGCGGTGGTGTTGACGATAAGTTACAGTGCCTGTTGGTGTTGTTACGGTGTTGTTGACAACGTTGTACAGTGCCTGTTTGTGTTGGTGCGGTATTGTTGACAATGAAGTGGTGTTGGTACGGTGTTGTTGACAATGAGGTACGCGGTATTGTTGACAATGAAGTACAGTGCTTGTTTTTGTTGGTGCGGTATTGTTGACAATGAAGTACAGTGCTTGTTTTTGTTGGTGCGGTATTGTTGACAACGACGTAGAGTGCCCGTTGGTGTTGGTTCGGAGTTGTTGAACACGAGGTACAGTGCTTGTTTGTGTTGGTGCTGTATTGTTGACAATGAAGTACAGTGCTTGTTTGTGTTGGTGCTGTATTGTTGACAACGACGTACAGTGCCTGTTGGTGTTGGTACGGTGTTGTTGACAATGAGGTACAGTGCCTGTTTGTGTTGGTGCGGTGGTGTTGACGATAAGTTACAGTGCCTGTTGGTGTTGTTACGGTGTTGTTGACAACGTTGTACAGTGCCTGTTGGTGTTGGTGCGGAGTTGTTGACCAAGAGGTACAGTGCCAGTTGGTGTTGTTGCGGAGTTGTTGACCACGAGGTACAGTGCCTGTTGGGGTTGGTGCGGTGTTGTTGACCACGAGGTACAGTGCCTGTTTGTGTTGGTACGGTGTTTTTGACAATGAGGTACAGTGCCTTTTGGTGTTGGGACGGTGTTGTTGACAATGAGGTACAGTGCCTTTTGGTGTTGGGACGGTGTTGTTGACAATGAGGTACAGTGCCTGTTGGTGGTGGTGCGGTGTTGTTGACAACGAGGTACAGTGCCTGTTGGTGTTGTTACGGTGTTGTTGACAACGTTGTACAGTGCCTGTTGGTGGTGGTGCGGTGTTGTTGACAATGAGGTACAGTGCCTGTTGATGTTGGTGCGGTGTTGTTGACAACGAGGTACAGTGCCTGTTTGTGTTGGTACGGTGTTGTTGACAATGAGGTACAGTGCCTTTTGGTGTTGGGACGGTGTTGTTGACAATGAGGTACAGTGCCTGTTGGTGTTGGTGCGGTATTGTTGACAACGAGGTACAGTGCCTGTTGGTGTTGGTGCGGTGTTGTTGACCACGAGGTACAGTGCCTGTTTGTGTTGGTGCGTTGGTACGGTGTTGTTGACAATGAGGTTATTGTTCTGTTGGTGTTGATACGGTGTTGTTGACAATGAGGTACAGTGACTGTTGGTGTTGGTCGGATGTTGTTGACAATGAGGTACAGTGCCTGTTGGTGTTGGTGCGGTATTGTTGACAATGAAGTACAGAGCTTGTTTGTGTTGGTGCGGCATTGTTGACAACGAGGTACAGTGCTCGTTTGTGTTGGTGCGGTATTGGTACAGTGCCAGTTGGTTTGTGTTGGTGCGGTGTTGTTGACAATGAGGTTCAGTGCCTTTTGGTGTTGGGACAGTGTTGTTGACAATGAGGTACTGTGCCTTTTGGTGTTGGGACGATGTTGTTGACAATGAGGTACAGCGCCTTTTGGTGTTGGGACGGTTTTGTTGACAATGAGGTACAGTTCCTTTTGGTGTTGGTACGGTGTTGTTGACAATAAGGTACAGTACAGTGCCTGTTGGTGTTGGTGCGGTATTGTTGACAACGAGGTACAGTGCTCGTTTGTGTTGGTGCAGTATTGTTTACAACGAGGTATAGTGCCCGTTGGTGTTGTTGCGGAGTTGTTGACCACGTGGTACAGTACCTGTTTATGTTGGTGTGGTATTGTTGACAACGACGTACAGTGCCTGTTGGTGTTGGTGCGGAGTTGTTGACCACGAGGTACAGTGCCTGTTGGTGTTGGTGCGGTATTGTTGACAACGAGGTACAGTGCCTGTTGGTGTTGGTGCGGAGTTGTTGACCAAGAGGTACAGTGCCTGTTGGTGTTGGTGTGGTATTGTTGACAACGACGTACAGTGCTTGTTTGTGTTGGTGCGGTATTTTTGACAACGAGGTACTGTGCCTGTTGGTGTTGGTGCGGAGTTGTTGACCACGTTGGACAGTGTTTGTTTTTGTTGGTGCGGAGTTGTTGGCCAAGAGGTACAGTGCCTGTTGGTGTTGGCGTTGGTGCGGAGTTGTTGACAATGTCGTACAGTGCTTGTTTGTGTTGGTGCGGAGTTGTTGACAATGTTGTGCAGTGCTTGTTTGTGTTGGTGCGGTATTTTTGACAACGAGGTACTGCGCCTGTTGGTGTTGGTGCGGAGTTGTTGCCCACGAGGTACAGTGCTTGTTTGTGTTGGTACGGTATTGTTGACCACGAGGTACAGTGCCTGTTTGTGTTTGTGCGGTGTTGTTTACAATGAGGTACAGTGCCCGTTGGTGTTGGTGCGGAGTTGTTGACCAAGAGGTACAGGGCTTGTTTGTGTTGGTGCTGTATTGTTGACAACGACGTACAGTGCCTGTTTGTGTTGGTGCGGTATTGTTGACAACGAGGTACAGTGCCTGTTGGTGTTGGTGTTGGTGCGGAGTTGTTGACAATGTTGTACAGTGCTTGTTTGTGTTGGTGCGGTATTGTTGACAACGAGGTACAGTGCCTGTTGGTGTTGGTGCGGAGTTGTTGACCACGTTGTACAGTGTTTGTTTTTGTTGGTGCGGAGTTGTTGAACAAGAAGTACAGTGCCTGTTGGTGTTGGTACGGTGTTGTTGACAACGACATACATTTCCTGTTGGTGTTGGTGCGGAGTTGTTGACCAAGAGGTACAGTACCGGTTGGTGTTGGTGCGGAGTTGTTGACCAAGAGGTACAGTGCCTGTTGGTGTTGGTGTGGTATTGTTGACAACGACGTACAGTGCTTGTTTGTGTTGGTGCGGAGTTGTTGACCACGAGGTACAGTGCTTGTTTGTGTTGGTGCGGTATTGTTGACAACGACGTACAGTGCCTGTTTGTGTTGGTGCGGAGTTGTTGACCACGAGGTACAGTGCCTGTTTGTGTTGGTGCGGTGTTGTTTACAATGAGGTACAGTGCCCGTTGGTGTTGGTGCGGAGTTGTTGACCACGATGTACAGTGCTTGTTTGTGTTGGTGCGATATTGTTGACAACGATGTACAGTGCCTGTTGGTGTTGGTGCGGAGTAGTTGACCAAGAGGTATAGTGCCTGTTGGTGTTGGTGCGGTGTTGTTGACTACGACGTACAGTGCCTGTTGGTGTTGGTGCGGAGTTGTTGACAGGTACAGTGCCTGTTGGTGTTGGTGCGGTGTTGTTGACAATGAGGTACAGTGCCTTTTGGTGTTGGTACGGTGTTGTTGACAATGAGGTACAGTGCCTGTTGGAGTTGGTGCGGAGTTGTTGACCACGAGGTACAGTGCCTGTTTGTGTTGGTGCGGTGTTGTTTACAATGAGGTACAGTGCCCGTTGGTGTTGGTATGGTGTTGTTGACAATGAGGTACAGTGCCTGTTGGTGTTGGTGCGGAGTTGTTGACCACGAGGTACAGTGTTTGTTGCTGGTGTTGGGATACAATGTCCGTTTTGAGATCGGAGTGTTTAACAAATCTGTTGTTTAGTTTTCCAAATTGCAACCGGCCTTAAGCTTGAGGGAATGTGGGCGAAAGATCGTTTACAAGAGTAAATGATATGTCAAACCGTGTACAGAAGGTTGTGTCTGATAAGCTGCCTACACTAACATTATAATACGGTTACATATCACCCGATAATCACATTGACCTACATATCAACATCTACTGTGTAAATTATTTAATCTTGTACGTATGTACACACTAGCTTGGCAAGACTATTTGAGTATTGTAGTAAATTACAAGAAGCATACCTGCTACAGCTTTTTGTACCTGTTATAAACAGTAGAGAACGAGGTGTAAAACTAACCATGCTGGTGTACCCAGCGGTGCACCACCCGTGTGCCGCCTGTCACATCTCATCACTACCGTTGATAAGTGTCGTTGTTAGCGTGACATAGCGAATGCTTGGAATATATTATGTTTCCCATTAACTTTTTTTTTTCAATCTTCGCTTGTACAGAATAAATGTCATGATTCAGGAAATATGACCCGTCTACCCGCCCGGTCTACCCCGCCAGTCAAACCTCTGGTTTACTTCCGTTCGTCCTAATTCTGATTATTATAGGCGTTACTTTTATAACACCTTTCGAGCATAGGTTGCCATATCACTCCACACATATGTCTTATGTCTACCATGTTACTACTCTAGGTACTGTCATTCATAACCGTGTTTGGGCATGTCATTAAATATCGATTATTAATTACTCGATCAATTTAAATCCTGTTTTTGCGTTCCCTGACGCATTCACGTATTATCACGACTCTGGAGGTAAAAGTTCACAAAGTAGGATAAGTGGTAGGTAGGCATTTGACATAGCAGGAAATGAATTAGCAAAAACCGAAACTCGGTTCAATATTTCCGGTTTTGTACCTCTGCCAAACCTATATACCTGTATGCATTATAAAGGTTGAATGCAATGCATGAACACACACGTACAAACAGCGATAGGCTGTACAAAAGGTAATCTAAATATTGCTCATGGCGTGATGGCGACAGGACAATACACACACACAGTGGTATCCACACCTTCAGCAGAATGCGCCCCCAGTTGACAACATAACCTGCCGTACCCACTGCACTTCGTCATTGTTCGATACACAGGTTCCGTTGTTGCTTTATTTACGCTTCAATCGTACTGACATACAATTGTACAATTAAAAGGTACCTTTAGAATGGAATGTACTTTTAGCCAAGTTAATTTGTATATAAAGAGCTATCGTGATTTAGTGTTTGTCATATAACAAGCTCCCTTCTAACTTTCTTCGACTCGACACCGCGTCGTACTGCTGTTTGATTTTCAAACTTTTTTGAAGTTTTGTAAGTGCAAAAGTATGCCAAGACAGCTCAGATGGTTCAAATTCATGCTTATCGAACAAATTATTTATGGACCAAAACATAAAGGTTTTTGTTGTGTAAGCACATATCTTAGTTTCAGGGACTATTTTGATAAGTCTCAATTACCGGAAGTTCGAATGAAATTAAAACTTCCGGTAATTGAGAATTATCAAAATAGTCCCTGCAACTTCGAGCCAGTGAAGTTCGACTGTATGTTTGGCCAAACAAATGATGATTACCTGGAATCGGTTGGCCAAAATGCAAAAGGCGTTTTCTGATAGCTTCCAAGCTCTGAATAACCGGTAGTTCAGAATTCTTTCCACTCCGGTCAGGGCTCTCTGTCCATAGGGTTTCTGCATGGGCTCACTGAGGCTGAAGGCGTCATCCCCAACCAAGAAAAAGGGCACGTCGACGGTGTCATTGGGAAAGGGCTGTGGGTCTGGCAATCCAATGAAACCATCCTGCACCATCTCCAGGAATTCTGAGGCATTATAGATCCTGGCATCTCCACTTGAACCATATCCTGAAAATACAGAAGGTTAAGAAATTGTCAGTATACACTGAAAATAGCAATAATTGCATATAATTACAAATGCAGTATAATGTATGTGGACTTATACTCACCACGAAGGTCACACCACACAAACTTGTAGTCTGAGTCGACAATGGCCAGTAAGATGATGCTGAAGAAACCCTAAATATAAGGAACCAAAGCTGGCAGGCTTTCTGATGGCTATGTGTTTACCATCAATGGCAGCAACACAATTAGTAAAGTTCCACTTCTTGATAAAACCATCAGCCAGTTGTTTCCATTCTTCAGGTGTGGAGGAGGCTGTCATAACCTCATCAACATATTCCTCACATACAGCATGACAGACTTCTCTGACCACTACAGAGAGTATTCTCAGCGACCCACCAGGAGTACTGCATGTCTGAGTACTTGGCACCAGAAACCAGGTGGCGTAGCGTGGCAGCTAACTTGAGGCCTGGATCCAAGGCTCCCTGTACCAGGTGTGTTGTTTCCAGAGGCGATGACGGACACTCTCGAATATGCAGAGGGATTTCTTGAAAGTTCTAGGATCTTCTCTTCTGAGCTCAACCATGAGCTGAGCATAGATGCCACATTGGCGCCGTCTCTCGGGATGCAGCCGTGGTCTTCTCCAGACGTGCTCTGACTCCTCTTCTCTACCTAAATCGGCCTCTGATGAACTGGTGGATGTTAAAGTGTTGCTGGAAGACTTCTTGGTGGGCCATAGCAGCCACATACTGCAGCCTAAGGCGTTGAATATCTTCCACCTTGCCGAAGGAATAACTAATAATCTTTACATTTAGGCTTCTCCTTATATATATGAAATTCAAGACTACACAAAACTGTTGAGATACTCAAGAAATTTAGATGCGTTACTATTCACGTTGATTCGTATGTCGTACTTACCCTTCGTAATGACTCGTATGCAAGCGTATGCCGTTAACTTTTTAACGTCAACCAATCGTTACAATTCACTTTCATTCGTCATGAAATTTCGGGTTCAATTAGCTACAATACGTAATTATTCGCTACATTTCGTACAAGTTCGCAAACTATCGCAAAGATTCGTCATGAGATCGTCCTCGATCGCTTGATATGCAAATTAGCTGATCACGACCTGATAACTTGCGACCTCTAACGCCAGTTGACGAACGCTATGCGAAGACTTTCCGATTGATTAAAGTGTTGAAACGAATTTTAACGAATGATAGACGAAACATTTATTCGCCACACATTTTTCAATATGCTGAAAATTTTCCGACGAACAAGACTTATTGCAACGGACACAAAAGCTCACAAACGCATCCATACGCACACACCAACGATGTACAACGTACATATACTAATGGGAACGAATTTTACTCAAGTCCTATTCGCCAGTACACGCAAGTTGACGTCGGATTTTTCGCCTATGTGTGGGGAGGTCTTGACAAACATATGATGCACAGTACAAAGGTTGTGTGTTCTATTGCTATCATTAAACGTGACTCGTACACCGCTTGTGAATTTCTTTGAAAGTTGGTATTTGACGTCAGTGGGGCTGAACTTATTAAAGAATTGCAATAGAAACCTTGCCAAGTCCTTCATTTTCACTTTCAAATATCTGAAAGTTATTTTTCGATCGTGAATTTTCTTTTTCTTGCCAAAAAACATACCTGATTCCCTCACCTATTGTGCTCATATGCAGATTGATCCCCGATCGCTCTAATAGTATGACGGGAAAACCCAAACAGTTTCCGAATGGATAACATTCACGTGTTATTCTTCCTGCTGTTATTGGTTTGTAACAACGTTTTTGATTGGCAGGTTAAGTAATGTGCAACGCAAACGTGTATATTGAGGCATTGAAGTATCTCAATATTTATGAAAGCATGCAACACAGATCCGTTCAAATATATTTTAACGTGTAATATCAAAAATAATGACGTCACAAAAAATACAATGACGCCATAAATCAAAGGCAATGGAAAACCAGTCTGTGTTTTAATTGACTGTTTAAAAGTCTATAGTATCCAAAATTATACAACTTAACGTGATTTGGTTCGGTATATGATAATAAGACTCACCCGATGACATATGATTCCTATGAATCCCCCGATAGCTCGTGTTTAAATATCCTGTGATAAACTCGTGTGAGTCTCTAAACGTGATGCTTTGTCTAAAAACGACGAAAACATATATTCAGATTTTGATAGAAGTAACATTTTAGCGGAGATGATACGCAGGATTAACCAAAGGTCAACAATCCATTAATTTCACCTAGGGATTATTCTGATTAAATGGTGTTAAACTGAGTAGTTAGATATTTGGATATTGGCTCGGTTGACTTGGTTGAGCAACTAGAAGAGCCAGCAATAATACGTTGTTTACAGAGATTGTAATGAAATTACGGAAACCGTTACACACGAAGTAGGTCTGTATCCTTATCATTAGTGGGTATTCGGAAATATTTAAATGCATAAGAATGATTAGCTACTATTTAGCCTTTCAAATATGTAGAGGAAGCGGTTCCTTGGTTGTCAAACAAGCCCAATGCGTTTTGCAAGCAGGCAAGCTTAAAGTGTTTGCAGACATTTAGATCGCTAGATGCCTTGTCTGCAGATCGTAAGGTGTTGTTTTAATATTGGGATAATGAAATACAGACAAAACATGTAATGCATTTTTTGTTTTCATTGAGGGAGTCTTTCTATACATAGTGACCGTCATCAACAAATCTCGTAGCTTTGTATCATGGATAATATTAAGATAACCTGTTACGACATTTCCGGCTAGACCGCAAATGTATGGGAATGCTCAGTAACACAATGCTGAAGGGGAAATTATTGTAAGGTCATTTTAATACAGTTGTTGTAGCGCTTGCATGTAGTTGAAAAGTTTGGAAGCAGATGTTTTTTTTTTTTTATCTAATGACTGTAGTGGGTTAGCGTGGACGGACTTAAGATGTTACTGATGTTAATGCTGTCTATTCCCTTGTTGGAAAAAGAGGGCTTTCATGCCACTCTTCGTTACCGGGGAGTTGTGACTATCCTTACGACCTGCTAAAAGACTCGAGTTAGTGCCACATCCTAAGTTATCTTTAGTTTAGTAGAATACTTGTAATGTTTGTAATCGAGAGAGGGCGAGAGAAGATGGTTCGTTTGATAGGCTCTATTTTGAAATACCGAACTACTCCAGTTTAAGTAAAACAAACATAGTAAATATTGGTTGTAACCTTGAATATGATGTAATGCAAGACAAAATAAAAACTAATACATTAAAAAATAGTACGACGTATTCTATAGAATTCCATTAGAGGTTTTGAAAGATATAGACGTCCTCAACATTTGAATGAACGTTATTTAATAACAATCTGTGGTAATAAGTTCAGATTGGTTTTCCAGACAAAAACAATCTTCACACTAATTGCGTTATTTCCAGGCAAAACCTCCCAACGGTTGATGGTGTACCAGTATCTCTTTATTCAAATGACAAGTTTCCCATAAATACCCTCAATGTATGATATATGTATGTCAGATATAGCAGGGAGCGTTCATTTGGTGTCAAGGCTAGCGTCTCGTCACGTGTTCATTACAACATATGGCGCTACAGGCTTGCGTACAGCCAACAAATATTATAATCCTGACATAGGAAGGGATACATTGAAAGGTAAGTGTGGAGATTAATACACATAGGGACGTTTACCCTAAATACGAGGAATAAGTCACTGCCGCATGAATTCTGTGACGCAAGAGTGACGTAATAGTTGCAAGTAAGTTATGCAGACATGACAGAGGGACGTGGCATATTGAAATTAGACCGTACAGGATATGCTAACCTATCATAAACACATGGCAGGAACAGTCGGAGAATCCAGTTAACAGGGTTATGCAAGATTACCCGTCATCATTAATGATAATGTTGGTGTCACGTAATGTATGTTACCATGACAATATAGGGTCACATGTGTAACGGCCAAACAGACGTCATCCAGACTTCGTTACATACCTCTCGCGTGTGGCGGTGAATGTAGGCCCTGAAACTCACTGACCTCTGAACTAATGTCAACTCGGGGTCATGCGATCACTATGGTAATTTATTGACGTAGCACCTGCATTCCGACTTACATAACGATTTAAAAGCAAAACAATAAAGCCCCTCTTCCATTGTTGGATAGGTATGTTAAAATAAAAGAGATATCACAACAGCACTCAATCAACGAGACATGAATATTCTAATTCTTATCGATGTCTTCATCGATGCATTGGTTGAAACTTGAATGAAAGCTGTTTACACAGGCGAAAATAATATCCCTTCTGATACTGTAAACGCCTTAAGACCTCATTTATTGTGTAAAAAGAATGTCAGCGACAAGGACTCGAATGCTGTTAGAAATAATTGTTTAAAAAATGTTGACGCAAGTATTCCTCGAAAGACAGTTGAATACTAACATGAAAGTGTACTGGTAGTTTTATCAGGACCTGGTGGCGTTACTTGTGTTATTAACACTTTTATCAGGAACTGGTGGCGTTACTTGTGTTATTAACACTTTTATGAGGACCTGGTGGCGTTACTTGTGTTACTGACACTTTTATCAGGACCTGGTGGCGTTACATGTGTTATTAACACTTTTATCAGGACCTGGGGGCGTTACTTGTGTTATAAACACTTTTATTAGGACCTGGTGGCGTTACTTGTGTTATTAACACATTTATCAGGACCTGGTGGCGTTACATGTGTTATTAACACTTTTATCAGGACCTGGTGGCGTTACATGTGTTATTAACACTTTTATCAGGACCTGGTGGCGTTACTTGTGTTTTTAACACTTTTATCAGGACCTGGTGGCGTTGCTTGTGTTATTAACACTTTTATCAGGACCTGGTGCCGTTACCTGTGTTATACACACTTTTATGAGGACCTGGTGGCGTTACTTGTGTTACTGACACTTTTATCAGGACCTGGTGGCGTTACTTGGGTTATAAACACTTTTATCAGGACCTGGTGGCGTTTCTTGTGTTATTAACACTTTTATCAGGACCTAGTGGCGTTACTTGTGTTATTAACACTTTTATTAGGACCTGGTGGCGTTACTTGTGTTATTAACGCTTTTATCAGGACCTGGTGGCGTTACTTGGGTTATAAACACTTTTATCAGGACCTGGTGGCGTTACTTGGGTTATAAACACTTTTATCAGGACCTGGTGGCGTTACTTGGGTTATAAACACTTTTATCAGGACCTGGTGGCGTTTCTTGTGTTATAAACACTTTTATCAGGACCTGGGGGCGTTACTTGTGTTATAAACACTTTTATCACTGGTAGTTTTATCAGGACCTGGTGGCGTTACTTGTGTTATTAACGCTTTTATCAGGACCTGGTGGCGTTACTTGGGTTATAAACACTTTTATCAGGACCTGGTGGCGTTACATGTGTTATTAACACTTTTATCAGGACCTGGTGGCGTTCCTTGTGTTATTAACACTTTTATCAGGACCTAGTGGCGTTACTTGTGTTATTAACACTTTTATGAGGACCTGGGGGCGTTACTTGTGTTATAAACACTTTTATCAGGACCTGGTGGCGTTACATGTGTTATTAACACTTTTATCAGGACCTGGGGGCGTTACTTGTGTTATAAACACTTTTATCACTGGTAGTTTTATCAGGACCTGGTGGCGTTACTTGTGTTTTTAACACTTTTATCAGGACCTGGTGGCGTTACTTGTCTTATTAACACTTTTATGAGGACCTGGTGGCG